AGTACAATCGTATTTATAATAATTTATTTATAACCATCAAAAAATCAATAAATCAATATCACTTGACGAAGAAAATAGACTGCTTTTTTCTTGCAGAAAAAAAGCGACATTCAAATCATAAGCTCAGAACTTTTTTGGCATTTACCGAATGTATAGGGTTAGAGAGCAGTGCGAGACACAATAGGTGCGTCAAAGCATGCAGGTGACCTGATCGACATGAGAAGAAATACCTGTATAGATGAATGAATTCAACCGAAACAATCAATAAATCAATAATATACGGCACAGTGAGGGGGGACAAGAATGGAACAGAATGTATGAGAGTACAAAGAGTGGAGGACGGTGCAAAAAGTTGAGAAAAGAAGAATGAACAAAAACAATTTGTTCAGTTCACAAATCCATCAATATGGCAGCATTGGACTTCTCGGATCTCAACTTTTTCGGCAACGAGAATTTCGATTCTTCTGAAAAGTTGTTTATCATGAATTTCAACTTCGCCTATTTGAGCCAATCGCAGGTCAGAAAATATGCAGAAACTCACTGATGGGATGGAAATGTCGTTGACCCAAGTACTGTACAAAATCCACCAAAGTATTGCGATCCTTTGCCGAAACTTCGTACAATTTCACTGAAAAAAGTATAATACTTAATGCACTCTCATAATCATATGGAGCAGATCACCTCCTTTTCACAAATAATAATTGAAACAAGTTAATACACAAGTGACAAAGATTTGTGCTTAGTGACGAAAATGAAGACCAGGTCGGACGAAAAGGAGTTTATAATAAGTCATTAATTCATTTCTAAATTTATTTGCATAACTTTACTTCAACTCTATAATTTGTTTCAGTGACTGGCTTTTAATGATTCAAACACAGTTTATTGATATGACATTACCGACTCTCCATATTTCTTAATTCTTTAAGCTTTTACTTCACTTTAAAAAAATTTTCCACGAAAGCCATTCATTTAAAAACACGAGACGAGACGTTTACTGTCATTCGAAAATCGATACTCTCACTCTAGCGCTCTTTGTCAGATAGAAAACCTTTACATGCTAGGGGGCCTGCAGAAAATTTACATAAACTTAGAATTTCGCTGTTTGCAATATAGATAGAATATCTTTTAACCTTTGATTGAACAGATAACAATTTTGAGTGTTCAATGTGTAGTTGCACATCTACCACATTTACATTAATCTGACCATGCAATCAGTTGTTTTTGTCAACAATGCGTTGTATAGGGATGAAAAACAAAATTAATGTAAGAAGATTTGTACTCAAGCCTCGGTTGGAAAAACAGATAGTGGAGGTGCTCATTTACATACGAGTCGCCTAAGCTTTATATAGCGTACAGATTTGACAATACTCAAGCGTATTGAAACATTTCATCAATAAACAACTCCAAGCTTTGATACAACTAGAGGAGGTTCTCGCTAATTTCATTCAAAACATAGTATGTATAGTTTTGTTTTCAATAATGCACTTTTGCCTTTCTTCTATGTCTTCCCTTGCAGAAAAGTCTTTTGTAAAGACTACTAACTTTGTGATACGTAAGCATGAATAAGAATATCAAAAGTTAAGAACTGAAAGACTTGTTTTCAACTTCAAAACTCGCGTTGAATAAAAGATGTGAGACGATTTGCTAAAGATTCTTATTCGCTCATTGCTTTGAAGTTCAAAAAATGGCCATGGCCAAAGAACTTCTATACTTCTTCGAAAAAATAGGATTTTCCGAGAAAGTAAGTGACTGCTTCCTGCAATACTCACTGTTGGGCAAGTCTCGTGAAAGTCTCTTTTAACAAGGATATCTGGTGGTAAAAAAGGGTAAGGGGGAAAGAAGGAGAGAGGAGGCGGAGG